TACATAATCCTGGGTCAGTAATGGGTTAACGGCTATTAAATAGTGTCAGACGTAGTGCCATTACAAACTCCGGTGACGTAAGCCTGACTGCTTTTACAGCCGCAGGAACCCAAAAACATGCCTCCTGAAATCGACCCTTTATACCACACTTATCAGAGTTTAACAGGAAAATTAAGTTCATTCCCACTCTTTTAGTTAAGTTTTTGTCGTAAATGTGCTTCGATATAGTCTCACCTCGGGTAATAACAACATTTCTCTTGTTATTTCGAATATATGCCTGCGTACAAAACTGTAATTGGATTATATAGTCGCTTTAATGTGGCTACTTGTTAATAAAAGTAGACTTCACTGATTAATTTAATTTACTTACGAATTTGCCCGAGCTTCGGTAAGCCGTAACGATTTCCAGGTAGATTGTTGTCCAAAATTCAGTATAGGCTTGTTTACGACGGCTGGTTCCTTGAGTTGTATCTGGAGCGTCTCGCATTCTTCCAGCACCGGCTGATGCAGCTGACACAGACCTGAATCCCGGGGCTTCTGGATTTGTCAGCGCCTGGTTTAGAACTTCAATCGCTTTCTCGGGCATTAAATCCTGTATGTGTATCTTCGCCTGAACCAGACTGTTTAGGGGATGATTGCGCAGTTCAAAGTTGTTACTTAGTCCAATTTCCAGAGTTTGCTCCGCTCTCTTGAGATTCGATTGGGCTAGGTATATCTGAGAAAGCGTAAAGCATAAAGGACCCGGGAACATAAGTAAGACTTCCTGTCTACTTCGAATAACCGAAGTTGACAAGTATGCATGTCCGTCAGTCAGTTCTCCAAAAGTAGGTGAATTCATCTCAAAAGCTTACGTGGCGATGAAGGCAGAACGCAAAATGTTCTGTCCCGGACACATTTACACTTATTTCACGTGAACTTTTAAACTGGCATTTTAGGAGGTGAGAGGGAACTCGCAATTCATTTCAAGGGTTATCTGCATTTATATTGCCTTTTTGAAGTTATAGAGCATTTACGAATACATATGGATGCGGCGGCAGTCTCTAGTACTCTTTATTTTTTCATCCTCGCCGCTAGCCTCATAGTCAGTTCTTTCTACAAATAACATTCCCTCTGTTGGTTGGCATCACCCCACCTCCATCGCACCTGTGGCTGTCTGTTATTGTTTAGCCGCAGCAAAAGAATGGCGAACGTAGAAGGGGGTTCTTTCTCTGTCAAGGGCAATGTTACTGTGACAGGATTCGAAAATGGTCACATTTATATCAAAAGTGGTGATCAGACCTGGCAGTTTTGTGTCAGAAATCTGTCCTTTTTCCATTTGGTTTTGCATGAACCATGCCCTGGTTTGACTTACTCAATATGTGGGGAGAAACGTCTGCGGAGGGGCGGGGCGAAGTCGACTTTACTAGTTTGGAACTATGTCTGAACAGTAACTGGCTTTTCAGTCCCCTTTCCATTGTACGTTTGGCCGTTCTTTCGAGTGTTTTCACAAAGGGAACCCTACTGTCTCCTCGATCAGAGGCAACATGGAACCACTTGTGTCTGGGAAGACTTTGTCTCGGTCCTCGGTCCCCCAACCTACATATTTCACAGGGCCATTGAAGTTCACAATGCTATGACACATGTCTGCTGAATCAAACCGCTAGAAGTGTGTCTTCAGGACTTTCTAAAAAGCCCATCCGAAAGGGCTTTGCACTTTCGCTTTCATTTCCGCAGCCTCCTTGGTGTAAGTTGAAGGAAAATTGAATTCCGACTATTTGCTTTTCGCTTGATTGCCATGCGAATACTTCTTCTAATCTATTTTAAAGATGCATTTCTTAGTTCCACCATCACCACTGCAATGAACTTCAAATTACTGACAAAAAATGTTTTTTCTTCGATGGGAAAGTTTCCGAAGGGGCTTTACAATTTTGTTTTCACTACCCTACCCTCTTTGGTGTAACGTGGGAAAGAACTGAATTCCAACTCTTTGCTTTTTGGGTAATTGCGAGAAAAATATTTCTCCTAATCTATTTTAAGGAGGAATTTCTCAGTTCCATCGTCACCACTGCAGTGAGTTTCAAATTATTGGCGAAATTTTGAACGAAAATGTTTTTTTGTTCGGCGGAAAAGTTTTCTGTCGCATATGAAAATGTGAGTAGTCTTGCGGATGTTGATTTCAGTACTATTTATTTGATGTCAGACGCCGTAGGCGTTGGAGTTGGTAATGCGAAAAGTATATTATATTCTGTTCGGACATGAGCTCATTTGCCAATAGAGGAGAATATACGAGTTCCACGCAGCAGTCCTATCTGCGTATGTTTCAGACTGTTCTTCGATTACCTATGATTAAGGATTCCTGAGGGAATCCGACACGTCAGGAAAATAAAGTCCTAGTTCCAGTGATCGCATCTTCTTCTTCTTATGAGCTCATTTGTTTCATCAGACTGACCGAATATCCCTATTACTTGTAAGTTTATAGTTAGACAAAGGGGTGGATAAAAAGCACTTTGTATGTAAGTAAAATTAAGGTGAATAATAAAACTACCATTGAAAAACTGTGAAATACATACGTTTTACCACAAAGACTCAGCATAGGCACTATCTTTTATGTCCCGAGGCAGTAATGTTCAGCCACGTTCTGTGAAAGCACTTTCGTATATCTGGGAAAGGAGGACTTTATGTGTTCATCCTTTGTGGCCAAAAATTATACGATCCTCCCCAGATACACTAATACTCCTTGTTAGCCTGCATAGCAGATTACAGCATGTTGAAATTGCGTGACGTCCACATGGGAATTCGAGGAGACCTGATGACACAGCTAACCCGCAGTCAGCCCATCGTCCTGGATGTATTTAATGTAAGTATTTCTATACCACTGGACAGAAAATGGCTGGTTATCTACCGTAGATAAGCCAGCATCCTTCCTTGACTGTAAGATTTTGCAAGGTGAGCCAAACCTGTCCCTCATAAGGTTGAGATCGCGGTTGTGGCTACTCACACCATTAAATCCTTAGAACCAGAAAAGCATTTTTGTCCACACTAACCCAGATCACACCTTGAATGTGCTGTGCTCTAGTATCTCATAAAATGAGAGTGTTTCATTGACCAAGTTATTATTTTTTGTAACTGGCAACTCCCAATTACCACATACTCATTGATAAGCTTAACTTTACCATCCTTTGAAACGCAATAACTGTGTGAGACGATATTTTTCAGCAAGATTAGACGGCGTGAGTCGTCTTTAGTCCGAAAACATTTCCAAACAAAAAACATGTCCCGACTTCTTTGCACTTCGATTTCATTAGCATTAATGAAAAAGGTACTCGTATCGTGGTTACGGTGTCTAAAGGCTTGATTTGCATTTTCAAAATGTTTCTTTATCATCGCAATATGTTTTGTCTTTAGAAAGTTGTTAGGTAGCATCGTGACTGGAAAGCGCTTCCAGCTTCGTAATCTCGGCCCCTGATAACAGAACCCGCCATTTGTAGATTGTGCCGTTGGCCTACCCACGATAGAAGCCGCCGCTTTTTGCCTGCACCACAACTATGAAGTGCTGATTTGAAAAATAGGAACAACACATTTGCTTCGACGCATCTGCTTTTGCAGGGGATGTTTTCGGTAGGTCCTACCAATAGAAAACGTAGATAGGCTCGAGAACGAACGTATCGATAAGATCTTATACTTTGGCTAGGTCATTCTTAGAGCGAAAAGTTGAGAGTCCTTTTGCTCGTAAGGCAAGCTGCTGTGTCTGTCTGACTCGTGTTTTGCCTTGGAGATTAATGATGGGCGTAAAATCTCTGTCTCACATTACAATACGGCCGGTATTTCATGCAAAATTCCGACATTTGTGAAAGATTGATGATTACTCCTAAAACGGCATTAAGTAGGGTTGTAATATTTATTCTTATGCAGCCTTATTTAAAGTTCATGTAGATCACGCTGTATACATTATAGGTAACATTAATAAATTGATGGATACGATGTTATCAACTATATCAACTCTATATCATCTCTGTATAGAACTGATATATAGAGTCGATAAAGAGTCGACGATTGTGTCCAATTGGACCCTATTGGGCCATTTTAATTATCGCGCACAAATATTTGGCTATTTAAATAAGCTGCAGTGGACCCTAAATTAAGCTTCCACCAAGATGTTAAAAGCGGATTAACCTCAGAGATTTTAAGATATAAATCCTCATTTTTAATGCTGAAATGTACCCACCTGGGCCTGCAATACATGCGCTGTTGAACAAGTCGGATCGATTTCCAGAGCAGTCTGGCTGAAGGTGAGTGCTTGGTTATAGTCGCCGCGAATTAGATGCAAATAGGCGAAAAGATAGTTTGCCCACTGCAGACCAGGCAAGGCATCAGTTAAACTCCCAAGTATCTTCTGACACCTGGAGAGTATGTGCTGTGTATTTGGCCACATCGTAGACGCCTTCAGGACGTCAACAGTCCGCAGACTCTTCTCAATGCCCGCCGGGACTGGAGTAGGTTGAACGGATAAGCTGAAGTACGCATCTACCAGCTGGAGCAGGAAATCTGGGTCCATTTCACAGTAGTATTCAATGCTGGGTGTGGCCTTCTAGGTGGAGTTTACCAAACACAAAGAACGAGTTTAAATACGGTTTTGGTTATATTCAGGATCTATTCTTCCAGAACTGCCTAACTCATTAAATTTCGAGATCAGAAGTTGAGGTAGTAGTGTTGCACAGATTAGCGGTTGCTAATTCGGTTTATTGAATTGATTTGACATAGAGGAAGTGGTTTACTGAGGAAGGGTTCAATTCAGATCGGTTTATTAAAAGGAAACAGGCCAGGATTGGGCAGAATCCGGCGTTTCTTGATATTCAGGAGTTTTCCTACGCTATTCGGAACTAAGGATCAAAACCTCCTGTTTGTGCGTATTGTATTATATGCTGCACTGGCTGGGTGGAAACGAGGAACATATTCTTCTGCGTTGGGTTTTTTTATTTTACAAAGAATGATAAAAATATTAATAATGGAACTCGTTAATTGTTACCACCAATCCGAGTAGAGCCATCAAAACAAACACTATTTATCTGACCCAGTTGGGAAAACTTCCTCGGCCTCGGTGAGAGCCAAACCCACGACAGCAAGGGCGAGGCTTCATCAGGGCCAACGCTCCAACCACCTGGGCTACGGGGTCCCGCCGGACACCATGAGGTTAATTACATTGGGGTCAGGTTACCTGGCCCTATACTGGAACCCTGTAACTCAGGAGGCAAGAGCGTTGACTGTACAAAAGACTTCCCCTTGCTTTCGTTGGTTTGAGCCCCAGCGAGGCTGCTTAGCTTTCCACAAACGGTCTAAATTAATTATTCAAATCTACCAAAAGCCTCATTAAGTAATTGCGTCTAGTAGTCATCTGGTTGATTCTTGATTGACTGCTTACGAAATCCTGCTCGGGCAAACAGCTTACTGTAACAAAATTGTGGAGTTCGAACCGTCTTGGTGGGGAGCCTTGTAGCTCAGTTGGCTACAGTGTTGGCTGTTCTAAGGCGTTCCCTTGCTGACGTCGGTTCGGATGCCATCGCGACCGCCGGAGTTTTCACAATAGGGTCAAATGAATTATTTCAATTTACCAAAACCCTCAAACACTATTACTAAAATCTGTACAATTCGGCGACAATATAACCGCTGACCAAACTGTAACATCAGCCCAACATTATCGCTAAATTCATACTGTTTAGCGCGTACGCGTATTTGCGCACTCTCGGAAAATCTTCGGCCATAAAGTCGGTTTTTTGGCCTTGATCGAATTAACTACCACCACGCTGTTCGAGGGGTCGATAAGGAGCAGTATTTATCCACAGACTTGCTTATTGGGCAAGAATTTTCCCAGGGGACTCGGACGCACGCATGCGCGCGCTTAGAACTTGCGCTCACTTCGGAGAAGATTTAAGAGGTTCGGTTCAGTTCATTTCAGTTTAGTTGCCAAACATGTATGCGCGTACCCTTTAAATCCCTATTTGTTTGCATGCAACGTAACTCAATCAAAAAATTAAACATTTAGCATTAAAAAATACAAGAAGGAGGTGTGTCAAATCTGTACATCTAGGCGGAGGACCTCTAGTGTTAGTGGCAGAAGCAAATAAATATACACTTTTTTATGGCTATACTGCAAATTGCATCGGTCCTTTTCGATAACACACTTCACTTCTACTGGCTCTTTAGCCGAACGAATAAAGTTATCGG